CAGGTCCTCCTGACTCCAGGGCTGGTGCTCTATCCACTGCACCACCTAGCTGCCCCTGAGATCGCAATTTTTATTCCTGCTCTTTTAAGTCTACCTGAAGTATAGATCTGCTTCTGGGAGCTAACATGGTGGAGTAAGAAGTAAGTTGCTCTCATCCTCCCTTATTGACTTCTGAAAGCCCAGAAAATATCACCCGAGGAAAAACCCTGGAACAGCTGAGCCAGCAGAAAGATGGGGTGCAGTACTCTTGTAGCCCAGGAAGCTTGAGGCATTAACAGGAAAGACCCCTCTCACTCTTGGGGAGGGGGAGCAGTACAGGATGGGAGGCATCCCAGCAAGCCGGCGGCAAGCCCGACCTCAGCATACCAGGGGAGATCTTGAGACCCAGGCTGGTGGAGCAGGTAAGTGCCAACATAAGGATCCCCTGAGTGCCTCAGTACAGGCAAGGGAACAGGTAGATACCAGCTTAGAAAACTACCACTTAGAAAATGCGATGGCATTTTTCAGCAGCCAAATCACCTGATGCCTCAGAGCAACTCTGGGAAGTACAACTTCAGGAGGCAAAGCTCCAGGCTGACAGACATCCTCCAGCAGCGAATCAACCCTGTGCAAGGCCTGGGTGAACAGAAGCCAAAGAAAGGAGTGCAAGGCCTAGATGAGCAGGCACCCCCAGGCGTCAAGACTCCCCATCTACACCCCAAGAGCTCCAGTATTGCTGACCCTAGACCAGCACCAGGTAAGCAGCCAAAACTTTACAGCCTCCGACTGCTAGCACCTGAGGCCCTAGCACACAAAGCTAGTTACCAGTTCCCAGGCTCCTCGGACAAGAAGTGCCCCCTGCCCTCCAGCAGGAGAGGATGCATAAAAAAAGTCAACAGATGGGCAAACGCCATGAGCAAAAAGCAGAAACAGACAATGGCCTTATAATGTTATTATGGGAACAGGGAAGATCAAGGCACAAATTCAGGAGAGGACAACATTGTCAATACACCCACATCTGAAACATCAAAGGGGAATATGAACTGGTCTCAAGACCAAAAAGCCTTCTTGGAAGAGCTCGAGAAGGATTTTAAAAGTCAAATAAGATAGGCAGAAGAAAAATTGGGAAAAGAAATGAGAAGTATGCAAGAGAGAATCAATAACTTGGAAAAGGAAGGACAAAAATTAACTGCAGAAAACAAGTCCTTAAAAAAATACAACTGGCCAAATGGAAAAAAGTCCACTGAAGAAAACAAGTCCTTAAAAAGTAGAACTGGAGAGGCAGCTAGGTGGTGCAATGGATAGAGCTCCAGCCTTGGAGTCAGGAGGACCTGAGTTCAAATCTGGCCTCAGACACTTGACACTTACTAGCTGTGTGACCCTGGGCAAGTCACTAACCCCGACTGCCTCAAAAAACAAAACAAACAAAAAAAAAAAACCCAGGAGAACTGGTCAAATGGAAGAGGAGGTACAAAAACTCACTGAAGTATAATGAATTCTTCTCCAGCCCCCTATTTTAACTCTACGTGAATCTTTATTTCAAGTTCTTATAAACAACTTTCTATTGTATTCTGTTTTCTAATCCATCTTGCTATCCATTTCTGTTTTATATGAGTTCACGCAATTCATGTTCATGGTAATGATTCTTAATTGTGTATTTCCCTCCATTCTAACCTCTGAATTTTTGTTGATTCGTTGCTCCTTTTTTCTTCTGCTCACCCAGATTCACATCACAGATTTTTATTCTTTTTTTCTTTACCTTTAATCCTTCTATTATCTTTACTCTAATGACAATTTGTTTTGCTTATGATTAATCTTTCCGTTATTCTACCCTTCCTCGTAAACCCCACTTCCTTCTCCTTGTTTCCTCTTGTTTCTGTTTAGTCTGATGTTCTTCTACACCAAACTCTTAGTGTGTTAGAGAGAAAGTGTGTGTGTATATGTGTGTGTGTGCGTAAGCGTACTTGCACATACCTGTGTGTGTTAACTCTTCTTTGCTTAGTTCAGATGAAAGTGAGATTCATGTGACATCTACTTCCTTGAAACCTTTCTCCACATTTATATAGTTTTTTTCTCACATACCTGAATTGTGTAAAATATTAAGTTCCTCCCTTCTGTAATGTAACCCCTCTCTTCTCCTCTTTATCTTATCTGAAGATCATCAAAGCAAACCAAAACCAATCTGAGATTTCTCTGTTGGTCTTACTTTGTTCTATAAAACATTAAGGTTCAGAAGGGACAATTGTTTCTTCTCCCTCTTAGGAAGTAAATGCTTCCTCAACTTACAGTCTCTTTCAGTTGCTCCTATGTGTTTGCCTTTCTAGTGGTTTCTCTTGATTTTGTATTTGCGTCTCAAAGATTCAATTCAACTCTGGTCTTCACTCATCAGGAGTGTTTTAAAGTCCCTTTATTTGTCTTATTTAAAGGGACAACCACCCCTTTTTATTTTTATAATCCCTTCTAGCCTGACTATACTGAATTGACTATACTGAATAAATTATTCTTGTTTTGCAAGCCTTTACCTTTTCCCTTCTGGAATAACATTTTTTTCTAAGCTCTCCCATTCCTTGAGATGTTAGGTGCTAAATCTTGTGTGATCCTGACTGTGACTGCTTAGTACTTGAACTCTTTCTCTTTGGTTGTTCCAAATATTTTTTTCCCCTTTAACCTGGAAGCTCTGTATTTTGTTTACAGCATTCCTGGGAGTTTTCATTTTGGAATTTCTTCTAGGATGCGAATGGTAGGTTTTTTCATTTTTTACTTTGTCCTCTGGTTCTAAGAATTCTAGGCCAATTTTCATTTGTGATTTCCTGTAATATGGTATTTTTTTTTGGGGGGGGGTGATGTTTTTCTGTTTGTTTGAAGATTCTTAGATTGTGCTTGACCATTTTTCTAGGTCAGTTGCTTCTGATAAGCTATTTTTTCTGTCTTTTGATTTTGTTTTAATATTTCTTACTTCACAGAGTAATTTAATTCTTTTTGGGCTACCCTAATTTTCAGGAAGCTAGTTATTTGGGTAAGATTTTGTACCCATGTAGCGAGCTGTTTATTCTTCCAATTATTTCTTCCAGAGGTCTCATTTCATTTTTATTATCTTTTTTAACCCTTATTTTATCTCTCTCAGGAATTTTAATATATCTGTGGACAAACCATACCTTCATTTAAGACTCCGCTCACAGTGGCTGTGGAGTTACTCTCTCTAGGCTGTGTATTGGATGTTGCTGGATGCATAAAATTTCTTTATCACTGATGTCTTCTGGTTATTCTTATTCCAAGACTTCCTTCCTGAATCATGACATTCTATCAAGGCCAGGCTTCAACTGCTCCTGAACATCTGGATAGGAGGGTTGGTGCCTGTCTGATCTCCATTTTTATTTAAGGTTCTACCGTTTCCCTCCATTGGTATCGACTATGTACAAAGTGCTGGTAGGGCCAAGCTTACTTGTATTTTTTTTAGCAAGCATTTTACAAATATTGTCTCATTTCATTCTCATAACAATCCTAGGAACTAGGTGTTACTATTCTTATTCCCATTTTACAGCTAAGGAAACTGTGGCAGGCAGAGTCACACAGCTATTAAGTGTCTGAAGCCAGATTTAAACTCAAGTCTAACTGACTAAGCCCAGGGCTCTCTCTACTGTGTCTTCTAGCTACCTCTAAGTGCCAAGTCTACAAGGTTGCTAGTGGTGGCGTAGTTTTCAGGCTGAAAACTTTCAGAGACCCTTTAATGTGTAGATTGATAGCTGCCTTCTCTTTAAGAACTTTGTTTTTCCAGGGCCTTCTCACTGGAGTACTCTGGTCTTCTGCCAGGAGTGCTTGACTATTCTGCAACTTTCTGGATAGAATGCTCTCTTCTTCTGGGCTCCTTGACTGTCCATATGTATTTGCCTGGCCCTGGCATTTTCTGGTTGACATTCTCTAAGGCTGTGACAGTGCTTCTCCTTCTGCCAACCTCAGATGAATGGAGGTACTCACTGTAGTTGACCATTCTTTGGCATGGCACTCTTTTGTTTTATATCCTCTGGAATACTGTTATTTCAGTCATAGTGACTGGGAAGTTTTGGCAAAGTTGTTTTCTTAACTGGATGACCTCTCAGGCCCCTTCTAGCTTGAAAATTCTGTCATCTTCTCTATCAGTGCAGTCTACTTATCATCAGGTCTAACTAGACCTCATCCTAGACTAAGCTTTTTTTAGGCAGGCATCAAAACTTCAATTTTATACTCTTTCCCATACATCACAGTACCTACACTATACTGTGTATACACAGTATAGCGCTCTACATTCTGTTTCTACTCAAACAATTGCTGACCAACAAGGATGTGGCAATGCTTAAAAATCAACAGTTCTATGATATACACAATAGATTTTTTTTTCAGAAAGCTTTTGTTGAAACTATGGCAATTTCCACTCTATGAACTTTCTTTAAAAAAATTTTTTTAACTGAATATCTTTTGGTTTTACATTACGTAAATGTCCCAAGAGCTGTGATGTTGCTGAGAAAAAACAACATTGGTATTGCTGAATAAGAGTCATTTTGGATGAAGAAGTAACTATGATCTAAGGGGTGTGTGTGTGTGTGTGTGTGTGTGTGTGTGTGTGTGTGTGTGTGTGTAGGGGGATAAGAATCTTATTTAGAAAAAGGCTTTATATACCTTGCTTAAAAAACTTAAGCAACTGAATTTGCAGTTCTTCCTTACAATGCATCAGCCAAACCGGTAAAATTATTTGTTTAAATCAATGATGAAGATTTGGAGATTCTGTCTGAAACACAGCAGTTTCACCATTTATAGCATTTCAGATATGTCCTTCATTTGGGCAGACAAATGTAAATACCACAAAAGTTTTCTTGGAAAATAATTTGGTCCTAGAACTCCTTGTGTGACCCTCTGAGCAAGTATTTTAGCCTCTTTGGGGTTGTTTTCTCATCTCTAGAATGAAACAGTTACAGCTCTAAACCCTATTGCCTTATAACAATATAGAAAAATACAAACTTTGATTAAAAATTTTTTTTAAAGAAAAAAAAATTCCACTACCTACTGCTCTGTTGGCAGTAGTTACTAATTAAGCCTTAGGAACAAACTGAAATATTCATTTATACAGGGCTCTCTCCCAGTCAGACATTATTGGCTGAAGTCATAGTTTATTGGGCTATGAGCACTTGATTATATAAACATTTCTTAATTTAACAAACCCAGCCATCCTTGTAATAGATTTTATAATTACCCTAGCTATATTGCACTGATGATGAAGTTTCAGTACAAAAATAATTCAGAAGAACGTTATCTGGAAAGAAAATAGCCTTACCATAGCATCTGCTTTATGTTTCATCCGTTTGGCTTCTTGCATAAAATAATCCGCACTGCGTGGCCTACCAAGAAAGAATGATACTACATTTTATTATTTCTGAAGTATAAGATTTTAAAAAAGATATTCTTTCTCTTTATACAAACCAGTTGCACACAGGTTAAAAACTGCATTTTCAAATCACTACCTATATGTGGTTCAGCATTTTATTGTTATTTTCATTCTTTTAAATTAGTGATTCAAAGCAGCAAAAATAGGCTGATAATCTGCATTTACAAACAATGCAATAAAGTCTCTAGATAACTCTGATAGCTCTGATTTGTGAATCTTGTCTAAAAGTACACCTGAGAAAACAAGTTTTCACACAATATTTAAACATGAACGATCCTTTTTCAATCTAAAGGCTGTAAAGATGTCTTGCAATAATTGTGTGCGTGTGTATGGGCAAGTGTATTTATTTACACATCCAAATGAAAACATGTGTTTTCCTTTACCCCTACAATAGAAACTACATTTATGTACATACAATTATTTTGGAACATTATATAAAAATAAAATGAGCTAATGTCCTGTGATTATATTCCACTCATAATGAAGTTAATTGTAAAATGATGTCTACCTTGTAACAATGCAAACATGGCATGTATTCTCTGGAGTTCTGATTAGCTAGCTGGTAAACATTAACAGCAGACGTGCATTATTAAAAGCAATAACCCTGGCCAACATAGGCTCTGCTGGGAGTCAATTGGCTATATCTAAAGATAATACATCCAGGTCCCAATCTGATTTTGTACAGTGGCCTTGAGTCAACTATCTCCTGGCATAGGCTGCACTAAGAGACAATCATTGGAATATTACTTTTTAAAAGTTTAGTCTAATCAGTTGTTCATGCTTTTCCCCTTGCTTAAATAATCATGTATATGCTTACTTGTTTACATGCTTTATCTACCAAGCTGAATGTAAGCTCCTTGAAGGCAGAGGCCATTTTTCATCTTATCTTTATATTCCTACAGCCATATCTGGCACATAAGAACCATTTAGTGCTTGTTGCATTGGAATATGAGTTATGTGTACATATATGTATATGTGTGTGTGTGTGTGTGTATAGATACACAGATATATGCACAAACATATTTTCATTTTCCTCCCTACTTTAGATACAGTTAGCATAGTATTTAGCATTACAGAGTGGCTTGTGGTTTTTTTTATTTAAGTACACTCAGTCCATTAGTGAGTGTCTAACACGATTCAAAACCCATGGATGCATGATTAGTTAGAATGCCATTTCATTTCAATATGCACTAAGTAGTGATATTAATAAGAAACTGCTCAGCTTAGTAGAAAAATGCTTGTTTTGAACTACAAATGATTTTAGTGTCTAATGCATACATTAGTTTATTTTAATATTTGAAGGTCACAGGATTATTATCTTTGCAATTATTTAGCAACTATCTTCTAACAGAAGTCAAAATGCTATTTTTACAAATGTTTGGAAAGGAAAACCATATTGTAAGCACTGCTATTGTGTATTTATCAGGTCAAAAAATCTTGAGAAAGATAGATAATAGGGGCAGCTAGGTGGCGCAGTGAATACTGGAGTCTGGAGGACCTGAGATCAAATCCGGGCCTCGGACACATAACACTTACCAGCTATGTGACTCTGGGTAAGTAACTTAACCCCAACTGCCTCGCAAAAAAAAACCTAAACACCCAAAACCAAAAAAAAACCAAAACAAAGATAATAAATGATTTGTCCCAAGTCACATAGGAAGTTATCACTGAAGCCTAAACAGAATCTAGGTCTCCACAGGTTATTTTCCACTAGATTACTTTGCCACTTAGTATAAGTGTTGTTTCCCTGCCCTGCACCTTCTTTTTTTTTTGCCAATTCATAGTGGGGGTAAGAAGAGTACGATTTTCAGGGTAAGTTGCAAAATGTTCTGTTCAAAAACAGTTAAAAATTGAACTTGTCATCACCTTTGGCGCATCACTTCCCTTCTGAAGTTCAGTCAATGGTACTACTCTTCTGCCAGGCTGTAGATCTTGCAGTCCTTTTTGACTCTTCCCTTCTCTTAATCCTTTTATAATAAGTTTGTTATCAAGTCCTGTTGACTCTTCCTTCTAAATAGCTTTCTATTTCAGCTGTCACTACCCTAGTAGAGAGCTATATCACCCCTTACTGTAATAAGCTCTTAACTGGGTACCTACCTCCAGTTATGCCCCCTTTAGTTCATCCTGAGTACTGTCCCAGAACATACAAATAATGTTACTAGCATACCTCATTCATTATGCCATTTCTCTACTCAAAAACTTATAATGGCTCCACAGCATTTATGGGATCAAACACAAGTTCCTCATCCTGACATTTAAGGCCCTCTCTAATCTTAGCTATCGAAACATTGTTACCAACATACATTTACATACATCTAGCTTTTGTTCCAGTTGAGCTAATCTTTATACTATCTTTGGAACACACCAACTTTCTGCCTTCATAATTTTATTTATGTCATTCCTACCCCCTAGAATATCATTTCACTTCAGTTAAATTTTCAACTAAAAACACTTATGTAGTTTTCCCTTCACTTTAAAGGAAGAATGGCACAGTAGATACGGAGCCAGTTAAAAGAGTTCAAGTCTTTCTTCTGATCACTATTAGTTAAGTTACTCTGGGCAAGCCACTGAATCACTCAGTGTCCCTGAAAAGTCTCTGAGACTACAGGTTTTGGAAGAGGTAATGATTTACACTGGTAGTGGAAATGTTCTCTGGGAGGTTCATATACTAATGAACTCACAAGTCCAATAAAAAAAAAGTGCAAAGCACTGTCCTAAGTACTCATCATTACAGGAACAAAGATCTGGAACTGGAAGAGACCTTAGTCCAACCCCCTCATTTTATAGCTGAGGAACTGAGACCTAGGGAAATAGAATGATTGACCTAAGGTCACACAGGTAGTAAGTGGCAAAAATTCAAATCCAGTTTCTCTTCCTGCAGAGCCCATGTCCTTTCCACTGTCCCATAATGTCTGAAACCTATCCATAATACGAATTTCACTTCAAGTTCCATTACTATTTTTATCTGCAAATCTGGCTGCACTGATCTCTTCTCTTTCTGACTTCTCATAACATCATCTATACCAGAGATGTCAAACAAAAGGCCCAGGGACCCAAGGCCTTTAACACTCCCCAGTACCTCAGGAACCAGACTAAAATGTAATGGGAAATATTTAACAAAATAAAAATACAACAGAACACAGATATTGTTAATATGTGGTTTTCTAAGTCACTATGGGTCTGTAGGGATCCTTATATATGGTTTAATGGCCCCAATTCCATTTGAGTTTGACACCACTGATCTATACCACACATTTTGTTACACTTTTTTATTGTTCTCAAGCAGTTTAGTGCATGTAAGTATTGTCTGACAAGGAAGATTAAAAGCTCCTGGAGGGGAGGGGCCATACTGTATTCTTCTTTGGTATCCCTGTCAGCACATAAGAGATGTGTGGGCACTGAATAAATAAATACTTGTTGAATTGAATTTCTGATGAGCTAACAACACAGCTATGGTGGCTTTGGGAGAGGTTCAGTATCCTGGCCAATGAGCCAGAGAAGGTCTCCATGGCAACTTTAAAAAATAGAGGAAAAATTCTCTATTTCATTATTTGTTCCACATTCCAGTATGAGGTTAATCATGTTTCTCTTGCCTCCTTTTGAAGAACCTGTCATGAATAGAATGTAATTTTAAACGTACTCCATTTTCATTAAAGCGGTTTTTTTTTTGCGCAACCCTCTTCTGTAAGTTTTTAATTCTTTTTTTAAACCAATTTTTTCTATGATAATCTCTTCCTTCCTGATAATCATTGTCCATAATTATGTTGAACTCAGTGTTTTAATATGCAGAAATGTATCTTTAAGCCTAATATAATTGTTAAGATACTGCAAGTTACAAATTACAAGGTAGTACCACAAATGATTTTTTTGTTAATTCCCAGATATCCTGGGAATACCACGAGGGCCAAATACAGCTGCAAAAATGGTTTAAGAACATCAGATGAAAGATGCTCTACAAGAAATACAGTGATGGGCATGTCAGAGGCACTTCCATCGTTCTTGTGCCTGAAGAACAGCACATCATTTAAGTCCTATAAGAACTGAGCCTGACCATCTGTCCATTTTCCCATTTTAGGGGATTTCTGATTCTCTATCACGTAACTATAAAACTATTGTGAATTCTTCCAGATTGGAGAAACAGTCATTTGTAGAATGATATACAACAGACCAGGCAGCGACTAACAAAGATTTGTAGAAAAATAATCAGTTTCATTTTTAAGTCACTACTGTGGCAGTTACTGAATATAATATGGCATAGGTACTAACATAAAATTTAATTTTCTCTGCATTCAAACAGACTTTTCATCTGATCTTTTATCTTTTACATGACAAACCTAAAGAGTTTTCTATTTCATTTATATAACATATCTTATATTATTTCTCACAGTGACAATACTTTATGGTGATACATTAACAAACCTAATAAAAGTTCAATTAAACAAATGTAGCCACGTACATATTTTGTGTTTTTCTAAGATGGGATTTCCAAAGCATTATAAAAGCCAAAGCTTAGTCATTTAAACCTTTTTGTCCAAGAACTCAATGCAACAAAAGCAGCTTGAGGACTTTGTTCAAATGTATTGTTTTCTTTTCTTTTTCTCTCTCCCTCCCCCCAACATATGACCTTGGTTCTAAAAAGCAGCATGCTTTTTAGTCGCCCCCAATATTTCTTCTGGCACTTGAGTATTAAAGCAACTCAGCTTTCTATTCTTTCTTACAGTTGAGACAGAGCTGAATGGTCTCCCACTGAGCGGCTGGCAGACTTCTTTCTATAATTCCTACCTATGTTAAATGCCGCCCCCAGGCATAGCCATAGTGTTTTGTGAAAACTGGCAGTGATGAGCTCAATGTGTTTGAACAAACAGGTTCCTCAGCATGGCAGAAATCTGGATAATTTTCTCAGGGGATCCTGAGATCCAAATAAGGCCATTAGAGTGTAACATTAAAAATGAA